AAGATGACTATAAATAGCTCCTGTTTGCAACCCCGCTTCTGAAAGTCCTTGGACATAACTGTTGGTTCATTTTCTGATATTCTCAGAATTATGAATGGGATTTTCAAAATCCACGCAACTTGAAAGAGGACCAGAACCAAAGAAGCAGTATCTTTCATTTCTGTCATTTGCCTTCCTAAGCCCAGTACCTCAGAGTGATGCAACTGGTGGCTGAGACTATACTTCACTTCCAGAACTCAAACAGACTATCCAAAACTTCACTTTCTCAAGGATAAGCACTTGGATATCTTAATTCCTCTCAGCACACACTCACTTAGCATTCCCTGGAAACTGCCACAGTGACTGTATGAGAGAAGTTACCACCACATGAGAATCATTGAATAGTTACTGTTGGAAAGGACCTTAAGATCATCTAGTTCCAACGCCCCTGCCATCGGCAGGGACACCACATACTAAACCATGTCACCCAAGACTCCATCAAACCTGCCCATGACCACTGCCAGGGAGGGAGCATTCACAACTTCTTTGGGCTGAAGACAGTACAAGCAAAGGTATGTGACTCAGACAGTTGTTTCAGAAGCAGTGTCTGGCTTACAGCACAGCCAAGGTTGGGCCATGTTGATGTATAACACGGTGCTAGAGCCAAAAAGGAAGAGCTCTGTTGGCTTTGCAGACTCATGCAGTGTAAAAAGCAATGAGAAAAATAATTTCTTTACTACTCTGCTATTCCATAACTTAGAAGGAAAAAAAAGACACATCTTCTCTTACATAAAACTACTGGGTGAAGCCTGAAAGCCATAACACTCAAAAAGTGAGGTATCACGTTTGCTTTCACTCTGAACAGTATATGGAGCCCTACTGTTGACAGCAGTCTGCTAGAAACTGCAAATGCCTCTTGTTCTTCCCCTCCTCCATATTTCCTACCCATTTCAAAGGAAAATTACTAAAAGTTAATACATGTTTTCTCAAAAACTTTTTCATTACATTAGGACATGACAAGACACAAAGATCAATGTATCTGATGTGTTGATTTGTTGAGTTTTTTTGTTTAAAGTTGTAAATATGGTTAAATCACATATACTTAATAAGATCTAAGCACATACAGATTATTGACCTGAGCTTTGTGACAAGACAGATATCACTTTCCTTTTGATGGGGCAATGAAAAAGGCTGTTCCAACAGCAAGTCTTCAGATGCTTGCTCAACTGAAATACCATTTCTCACTTTCATAATTACATCACTTCTAGTTCTCTACAGAACTGATACAAAAGTGTTTCCTTAAAGAAAACATGCATAAGGATTCCTGTTTTCTGAAATTCTGGTAATGCTTGTAAGATTCCAGAGAGAATGTGAAAGAAGGAAAACATAACTATGTACTCTGTGAGGTGTGGGCTGTGATTTCCTTTTGCTTTTTCAAATTTTTTCAGACATTATTTCAGTATTTACCTGAACCATTTTACAAGTTAACAGAGAATCACACGGATGGTATGCTAAGTATGTCATAATTCAAACATGGCTCAGCTGAAAGCAGATCTAATGCCATGCAATTATCACCTAGCAATATATTCAGCACTTCAAAAGCATCAATGCAGCACTTTAAAAATTGTAAATTGAATTAATTCAGTTTAAGTAATTGCACTTTAAAGATTAAAATATCATAGCATCACAGAATCATTTGGGTTGGAAAAGACCTTTAAGATCATGGAGTCCATCTGAGCCATTTGTTATCCAAATAACTTAAACCACTATTACTGTCATCCCACTTAATATTCAACTGAGCAGATGAGAGGGGTGACTGGTGCAATGGCATCTTCCAGACACTGTTAAACTTTCACTCCAAACAGCTTTTGTTTCTTCACCTACTTATACTGAAAAGCTGAATTTCAAAACTAATTTCAAAAGTATTTCCAAATCACAGCTGAAAATGTCAATACAAGTAAATGGGTACAGCAACATCATTACTATGTAAAAACAGGTGAAAAAGTGACTTCATGGCAGCTACAATAAAAATAAATCCTCATTTATTTTGGCCACATGAACACTACTAATAGACAGGAGATACTGTTACAACACACTAAGTGATCATCATTGTGACTCTTTTTATTATGTCGGTGGCAAGTGAGCAAACTCAACGCAGCATTTCTACTGGTCACCTTATTGAACAAATCAGAACTGCTTCAGATGCTTTTTTTCTTCTTTAGATACCTATCTGAAACAGAGAACCTACTTTACAAAAATGAACATTATTACTTCTCGCTAGACATTCATGCAGATCATTTTGGTGGATTTTTTAGGTAACTGTACTTAACAGTTTGAAAATGTTTGTCTGCGTACATTCCTGGTTTTCCTATCCGCATCAGTCTAATTCCAGATCACAGGGAAAGAGATGCTACATAACACTGAAAAAATAGTACAGGAAAAGCACATACTACCAAAACACAAGCTTTCCTTGTGCTTTCCATCTCAAGCCTGACCACATTCAAGAAGACATTCTAGAAACCTGAAGGCTGTTTAACCCACTTCCCTCTCAAACTCTTTAGCTTTGACTGAACTGCTAAGTAGCACGGCCCGCCACCTATTAAAAGGAACCAATTCAACTCTGCTTCACAGCAGCATAAACATACACCTAATATATACTCCAAACTTTCTATGTTACTATGGAAGTAGCAGGCAAAAGATAAGGCTTATTTTTCACACCTCAATGTTTCTGTACTCAACCTTGAATATTTCCCCAATTTTAAAAGCAAAATAACCATTTTAATGACACAAGCTTCATGATCTGCTTACTCTGGACAATGCTACTTGTGCTTTCAACACCAGTCAGCACATCACCACATATAACTCACAAAAAAAGCTTGCAAAATCTAAACATAATTCCAATGTGTTACAATTGTATTTTCATAGTCATAGGTATATATATTTTATGTGCCATATCACAGCCCCGCATGTTAACTTACGGTAAGATTACTTAAATCCCACAATCTCAGTACATTTGCATATGGAAAACATAAGTTTATTTTACCTATTCCACCTGTCAAAAATATTTTTAGGGGAAAGAAAATGACAGTAATAACTTAATCCACTGGTTCAAGGTTTTGCACTTAAAAATAAATAAATCTATGAAGAAAAAACCATGGTATGCATGATTTCTCTTTTATATTACTGGGGAGAGTTCAACAACTTGTTAAACCTAAAAAACAATCCACTAATATAGGGCAGAACTTGTATTCACCATTCAAGAAAAGATTTTTAGAAGTGCACTGCTCAAAAGAAAAGGGGGGGGAGCGGGAAGGGGGAGAAAAAACAGACAGAATTCATCCCCCCAAAACTGAGGATTTAAAGTTCATCTGTCAAATGTAAGATGACAAATATGTTTGTTTTATCAATTAATAACTGAAAGCTTTTTCTGTCACTAAAGGATCAATATGTAGTGTTGGTTTACTGATGTAAATCTTCTGGTCCAGATTCAAACAGAATTACCTAAAAATGCTACTTTAAAAACCAAAATAAGTGGGTTTTATAATGAAATACTAATTCATAAATCATGGCATTATTACTACAAGACTGTGTCTCTTATCTCTTAGAGGTGAACCTCTAAGTCACCACTGCAGACTCATGCAGTATAAAAAAAAAAAAAAAATGGTGAAAGACCAGTGCTCTTCACTGAGTACGTCACACCACAGTACTAAACCACATAGATTTTAAATCTTCTGCGCTCCAAAATAATCCTTCCTTTTCTCCCTGACCTGATATATGCTACAACTTTACAGCTAAATTTACAATTTTACAGCAATGTTGTAATCTTGAGTGAGCTTTGTCAACGGGCTTATATTTAAAGCATGCAGTAACAGTGATAATCATGAAGTGATAAATCCTTCCAAATTATCTGCAGCAAGAGCCTTATCCTGATCCCACCAAAGTTGACATACCCTCATCTACTGCAATGGAAACATTACTGCAAATACCTTCTTTATAACTTAAAAAATGGATTAATGAATCAAAATAATTAGTACTTTGTGTGAGAGAGGACTCTCAGGAGTGTATGGAAGAACACAAAGTACAGCTGAACACATTCAGTATACAAGGCAGCCAGTAAGAAACACACAGTTTAAATTTATAAGTACTAATCTCAAAAGCAATGCTGAAGAGTAACATACAGGACAATTAAGAGGAGCATGTTCCCTCTATGCTACTATTAGTGAACATAATGCTCCACTGCTGTAAGTTGTGCAAAAAAAAAAAAAAAAATAAAGACAGGTGTTTGCAAAGCTCTGATTCAAATACTTGCAATGAATTCGTGTTCAACATAGAAATTTTGCTGATCCTGCATTCTGAGGTTTCTATTTGAATAAGTGAAAAAGCACATGACCCTCGAACATGACAAGCAAAGTAACTTTCTATTTCACTTTAGATATAACCAGCTTGAAAATTATTTTAAAGCAAGAAGTAATTCATGTTATAAATCAATGTTCCCTTTGTAAGGTGTGATGTGTCAATTCTTTTCTTGAAAAAGAACAGATCTCATATTCCATTGCTTCATATAAAACACAAACCTCAACAAAAAAAGGAGTGCCTTCAGAATGCACAGTGGTACTACCAATGCTTTTTTGCATACAAGGTTCCATTTAGTGAAAGAAAGCTAGCATTTCAGTCATTCATTACATGCCACAGGTTTTCAGCTAGAAGTACAATTACAAGGCTTACGTCTCAAAATCTGCAAAAATTATTCTGAGTTACAGTGAAAGAAACTGACATCAGTTGTGCAAATAAAACTTGAGTGTTCAGCTCTGCAATTACTTGTGCAACAGTGTCCCTGAACATCAAGTAATTATTATTCTGTTTTAAATGGAAAAGGAAAGAAGATCCGGAAGACTTAAAAAAGGCCCCTCCAAAAACCTATCTCAGGTCTTAGAATACAAGATGTAATTACTTACATTACTTGTAACTAGAAAGACTGTTCAAAGATTACAGATCATAAATGAAAGCATGGGGCTACTCACCTACAGTATACCAACTAGCATCTGTCAACTTGCTGATAACAGCTTCTTGAAAGGATCCATCAGGCATTTTGGTTTCAACCATTGCACCAACCTGCAAAAAGGAGTATCTTGAGGTTACATGTAATCCCAGTCTCATAATGAAGAAAACCCATGGAGGCATTAATTCTTCCAGCAAGCCAGCCTTCTTTTTTTTTTTTTTTTTAAGACTCATTTTAGCTAAATGCTGTGTTGTAAAATTTAGTTACTTAGCTGCTAAGAACAAAGGTCCTCAAGTACACAGGCTGAACAGGAAATAAACAGTAAAGCAGTAAGAAACTCATATCACCTAAGCATGATCTACATCATCTCAATAAATAACATGAAGGCTAATTAGAAATAAATATTCAAATCTTCAAAGTAATTATTACTTTATTACTGACATGCATGCAATTCCTCCTATGTCCCACAATTTAACCACTGTTATACGTATCACTGTCAGAACTTCAGCAGCAGCCTACAACATGCATTAGCGTTCTTGCAGTAGCTACAGAGAAAAGACAAATACAGAAAAGGTGCTCTCCTCAAAACAGCTCTATTCACGTTTTGTAACTCAGCTATGTATTTCAGCAGACAACTATTACATATTGCAGAAATACAAACCAATACACATTTTTTTATAAAATACATCAACTATTTAAAAATGCAGTTAGAGCAAACTAACTTCAATTTACTACTGCCTAGCAGGCTTAAACTTCATAATCAAGTTCTCGATTACTTATAAGAAGCTTCAAAGTTTCATTACTTATGAGAAGTTTTATAACTTGTAAGAAGCTACAAAAATCATGTATGCAAAATTGTGTATGAAGTATACAACATGGAGAAGCATAAACAGCCTCTAAGAGCTGCAAGAGTTAAGACTACTCAGAATTCAACCGAATTAAAGTGATGAGCCTCCTTCTGTTGATTCAAATTCTGTAGAATAGCACTAAAATTAATAATTCTACAAATTATGTGAACACAGGGGAAGAAAAAAAGCACGCAATGTACATACTCTTAGAGGTCCTTTCACTTGGTCATCTTGCACCAACTGAGTTGAGTTATCCCCCTTCAGGACCACCTGAAAAATATTAATGAACTTTTTTATATGTATCCTATTTTTGACAGCATACAAAAAGCATATGAAACTGAAGTAATAATGACAATTTGGAAAATAAAATCTGTATAAATCAAATGGACCCAAACATTATTAAACACAAAACACTTGTTTTACTGACAGGGAGCCCCAAGTATCACTTTTAATATTTGATATCAAACATCATACTTAGAGAGGGCAAATCAAACATCAGCTATTCTAAGGCAAAGCAAACACATTTTGATGTGAGTGTGGATACTGATTCAATCCAGCTCACACTTGGAACTGAGCTTCCAGATCAGGAGATTAAGCAGCCTTTTTTTTCCTCTCTTTACTTCGACTGTAGCACTTTATTGATAATATGCCAATTACCACACTAAACCAAAATAGAAAGGTTTTTTTTATTAAATATGTATCCAAAAACATCATGTAACTAACCACCATTTCTGCTACCTTAAGCCAGAGAAAAGTTTTTATGGCAAACATGCAAATTATAAGCATAATGAAGGTAAGGATCAGTTACAGCATCAGTAAACTACACTTTTCCCTTTAAAATCCTACATTTGAGAAGTTAACATACAGAAGTTAATGTAAGCCTAAGCAATTTGAATCCCTGAGTCTGCAGACTCAATTTAGAAACATAAAAGATGGATACTTAGATGTCAACACTGTTAACAGGTTTTGTTATCACAAAAGCACCTATGGTGTTTAAATAAAAAAAAAATCCAAAATTCCTGTTTCTTTTCAGGAATCAAAAGATCCAGAAGCTTCCTTTCCACTTCTGAAGATGTCCAGTTTTCTGGCTCCCTCAATTATCCCCCAACCATAGTCTACACTGTAGGTGTATTTATAATTGTTAATACACATTCAAGTTAATAACACACTTCATGAAAATTTTATTTAACATTTTCTATCATACAGAGATGGATACAGTTGTCCTGCTGCTCAGGAAGACACTACTATTGTTTCTGGACTCTGCACTTTTGGTAAGTGTGCCGGGGTGCGCCTACATGCTCTTAATTACAATATCAGCTTAGCTTATTAAAACTTCAATTGTTGCAATATAATTGAGACACAGTGACAGAATTTCCACCAAGTCACAGCAGCCTCATATACTTCCAAATCTTATCATGGAGTCATAAAGCATATGATTCTAATGAGAAAAAGAAACTCACACCTCTTACAGTTCAGATACTCTATCAGACCAAAGATACAGATGCAAAATCAAGGATGTCAGACTAGGAAGGGCAGCACCCTGCTTCCTACAGAGCTTGTTATTAACACAGGTTTCTAAGAACATCACAGATTTCTAAAAGCACTCCTTAAGAACAGGGCAAAAGACTCCAGTACCTGAATCGTTTGGGGTTTTTTTTCCTGTTTGTGTAAAACACTCAAAGTGATATGAGCTATAGGTGTAATTGAAGAGGCTGATCGCTTGTTCTACTTGATCTAAGCATTAAAGCACATGAAAAGTTAGATGTGTAGTTATTAAAAGATTTCATTTATGTTAAGGGGTTTTGAGTCACTAATGACTTATTTACCTATTTTGGACAGTAGATGAGAGGAGGAAGTGGAAAGATTTTGCAGTACAACAATTTCTGTATTTACTTTGAACGTCTAACTTTCATTTAACTGTATTTTATTCTTGTTTTCCCATGGTAATGCTTACAAGAGTACTGCAACACCAAAATAATGACTTTTATTTTTTTGTTGTTTTGGTGTGACACCTGTAAATGGGAATGAATGTTATGTGCCAGTACCACACATAGGTAGAAACTCAGCTACAGCCAGAGCATGCTGGTTTAGAAGCAACAGCAAGATATTCAAAACTTAAGAAGCGTTATCCTTGACATTTCTAAAAGCTGGTCTAAGAAACTAATTGTTACCATCTTTTTTTTTCTGTTATGTTGACTTATTATTTATTTTGGTTTTGCCTCTTAACTTCTAAGCTACCAAACTGAGAACGTCAATAGGAATGAAATGGAATTTCTGCTTCAGAAGAGGTTGCTCTTATTACTCATGTAAAGCCACAATCCCCTATTTGTAAAATCAAAACTGACTGCTGTGAAACTGATGCATTGACAGACAGAAGACAACTGCAATCAGGAAAGAAGTAGCAAGGATAGGTAATGTGAAAGCTCATTCTTGTTGCAACCTACTCCCACAAGAATAAGAAAGAAACACCCCTACCCCACCCCCCCCAAAAAAAACCCACAAAAAACACATCCCAAACCCAGCAACAAAATACGAAAAACATGCTAGTGTTTTTTTAAATTCCTACAGCAAGGTGATGAACATTTCCAAATCTTCGGGACTAGGATAAACTTCTCTGACAGTCTTTTCAACACAAAGCTTTAATAAAATCAGCAACAACCACAGTCGAGTACCTTGACCTTCACAAGCCTTTTCACTGTCTTAATCTTTGCCTCGCAGAAGGCACCACGGTACTTGGCACTGACATCAGTTCCCACTGTCAGGTAGGCAGGCTCATCTGCTGCCTATTAAAGAAGAAAATAAGAACAAGTTTAGTTATTTTTTTTCTTTTCAGCTGCATCGTTATACATTTAATTTTACACGTAAGCTTTCAGATCTATTGTCTGTTACGTGAGTAACAATGTCTGTACTTGGAACTGCAATCACACTGTTCTTTAAAAGGAAAAAAAAAAGAAAATGAAACCAACAAAGAAGTTACAGGAAGTTTTGTTTTACCAGTTATGATGACACTTCCCACAATTTTGCCAGCCTAATTACTCTCCCAGAAATATCTTTGCGGGTATTAAACTGATACTTCAAACATCTCCATTTAAAAGGTTAATAATGTACAGGAACGACTATTAAGTCATTCCTACACAGCATACAAAAGGAGAGTATTTCAGCTGTAAAAAGGCAATACAAAACATAGTTGTACTTTTCTCAGCTAACTGCAATCCAATGACAGAGATTATTTAAAACATTCGAGCCTGCTATCATCCCACTACTTACAATTAAGTCCATAACATCCTACATATAGGATTCTTTATTCCTGACAACTAAAAGGAGACTCTAGAGAAATTTGTTGTAATCTTTCAAACAGCTGCTAACTAGTATTTTTGTTTCCTGAAATGCCTTATAAAAGCTTAACTGCTTATGCATTTTAAGACAGAGAAGTATTTCTCATCATATTTTCCTTAGTCCGGACTTTCATTACTCAATGTTTCACTTTATTGTGCTTGTAGCAATTGATAAACAAGGGTAGAGCGACCACGTTGAAAATGTCTATCAAGGCATTAAGGAAATCATAGCATATAAAACAACTACTTTTCTGTTCTTACTTGGTGTTTTAACTACTTTTTTTTTAATTATTTTTTTTTTCTTCAACTCTGAAGGCAAAAAAAAGTTTTCGCTTTTCTAAGTTGCACTGCAATTGTTAAGCCTCTACTGAAAAAGAAACAGGAACAGCTAAGGCAGGACAAAAGCTGTGGTATTGCAAACTTACAAACAGCGGCTGCTGATACAGGAAGCATTTAGACAGCAGCCCAAAGGACAACAATTCAAAGACGTTGTGAATTTTCAGACTACTCCTGCAAGATGGTAAGAGCTTCGCTCATCCACACCTCAGCTAGAGCGCAGAAACAGGATATACAACATGCACCGAAACCCCAGACAGCGTTATCCTACTGTTGCTCATCGAAATCGGCGATTAAAAATGAAATGGCCAGAGCAGCTTGTGAAGAGAGAAAGGGAGCCGTGCCCTACTCCGGAGTTAGCCTACCTTCATCTTTATAAAGGTTATGTGAGGGATTCCAGCTCAAAGACTTCTCCTCCTCACAAGCACACGGGAAAACACTGCAAAACAAGAAGGGGGGGGGGGGGGAAGAGGGGGAGGGAGCGCCTGAGGGCTCACCCCTGAGAGCGTGGGTCTCCCTCTCTGTGAGGAGAGGCCGGGCTGAGAGAGGAGACCGGCGCCGACGGGCGGGAACCGCCGTCAGTCCGTCTGTCCTAGCCCCGCCGGGCCACGGAGTGAACGGGGCCACAGCCGTCGCCCGCCGCTTCCCGCCCGGCGGCCCCTCGGTGTGTCACGTCGCCATTGCTCCCGCTCGGCGCCTCAGAGCGGAGGGACCGGGGAGCGTGTTCGGCCGGGGAGGAGAAACCGCCACCCCGCACAGGCACCTCGCCGCCGTGGGGGCCCGCCGCCGTCTTCCCCGCCCCTCGCAACTTTCTGCGGCCCACGGAGGGAAGCGCCGCGGAGCCCCTCCTCCCTGCCCCCTCCCCGCCGGCTGGCCGCACTTCTGGCTCCCGCCCCCCGCACACCCGCCGCGGCCAGCCGCGCTGCCAGCCGCCGGGACTCCGCGGCCCCCGGCCTGGGGTGGGAGCGGGGGAAGGTGTGCAGCGGGGGCGGACCAGCGCCGTGCGGCTGAGTGGCTGCGGATGGAGGGCGGGCGGGCCGTCCCCGCCGCCAAGCCCCGGGCAGCTCCAAGAACGGTGGCGGGGAGTCGGCCGGAGAGCTCGGAGCGGGCACGGGGGGGGAGTTCCGTAGGGAAAGGAGACCCCGTCAGAAACGGAGCGACGGGCGTCCGCGCTCCCTCACACAGTGCAAAGGCGCGCTGGTGGTGGTGCGGGGGGGGGGGGGAAGGATAAGGGGGAGAGCTCTCAGGGCCGCTCCGCGCCCCCTCCCCCGGGACAGCGACAGAGTTGCGGCTGCTGAAGTGCCCGCCGCCCTCTCTGCCTCCTACCTAGAAACTCGGAGCGAAGTGGACAGACCCGCACTGCCCGGCCTGGTCCCGGCGCCGCGGCCCCCTCCGCGACGACGACAACCCCGTAAGCAGCAGCGGCGGCGGCTAAGCGCGGCCCCTCTCCACCCCCCAGCCCGGGCTCGCACCGAATCACCAGCGACCAGCCCAATAACAAGCTGTTGAGCAGAATCGGTCCTGCCTGAGCTCCCATTGGTTCCCTCGTGACGCCCTGGGGGCTCTGCCCCGCCCGGATTGGGCACCACGGACAGCACCCCCATTGGTCACAGGGCGGCTGGCAGAGGGCATTGGCCAGCCGTCGAAGCAGGTAGGGCCATAGAGACTTTTGATTGGCGATCCTTCGGAACGCTAGCTGATTGGTAGAAGTTGAAGTGAAGTCAGCGTCCCTCCACAGATGATTGGTAGGCGCTGGATCCGGATGTAGCTCTGTGCGCGGTGACTGGCCGCGACCGGGTGACAGGAAGAAGAAGGGCGCGATATGATTGGTACCGGCCTTCTTTTATAGACGCGGTGGGGTGGGGACAAGAGAGGGGGATGGACGCGGTGTTCTGTGGCGGCTGCCCGCGGCAGACGGGGCGCATGCGCCGCTGTCAGTCTCCCGGCGCCATTTTGTGCGGGGCTTTTTCCCATTTTAGGCCGCGGGAGGAAGAGGAGTGGCTGGTGTTGCTCCGGGGGATGGGCGAGCTGCAGACAGTAGGCGATGGGCCCGGCGGGGATCCTGCTCCCTTGCTCCAGAGAGGCTGCGACTTGTTTCTTCCCAGCTGCTCCCTCCCGTGTTGGACTGCAGCGGCCGCGTCGTTCTCCACCCCGTCGTCCCGCTCGGCAGTGATGGCGCAGGAGCGGACTCGGAAGTGAAGCGGTGGCGGCACCTCTGGCGGCGGAAGTTCCCGCCGGGAGGACGCGGAGGAGCCGCGCTGCATGGTGAGGCACGGAATCGCTAGCTGCCGTCCGTTCGCTTTTCTCCCTGCTGGAGCCAAGCGGTGGTGCTGGTGGGGGCCTCAGCAGAAACAGCGTCGGGGCTGCAGGCGCTGCCCGTGCCGCTTTCCCTGGCGCCGGTCCCTCAGCCAGTGCGGACGGGACACGAGTGGTTGCGTTTCCCTCGCAGGAGGGCGTCACTCTGTCGCTGTTAACCGCCTCCTGCTGCCCGTGATGCGTTTGTGGTGAAGCCCGAGGAGGGGGGTCAGCTGTCGTTGCCTGGTTGCTTCTGCACCTGGTGCTGGTGGTTGTAGTAGTGACCGCCTGGCCTGCTGCCAAGCGCCTTAAGTCATCTCGTTACAGGAAGATGTGGTAAGAGCAGGAAAAGACCAGTGCTGGTGGGGCTAACTGCTTTTCGGAGTGCTTGGAGGAGGCTGTAGTCTTGTCCAGTCCTTCCATAGGGGTAAGGATGCTGTCTGAAGGCACAGTGTTACAAGGCAGGATACTGCAAGGCACCTGTGAAATGGCCTCTTAAGAGGATTTGGAGTTGGAGGCTATTTTTGATACTACTAAATAATTAAATATATTTTTAACGTCAGTGCCACATTTTTAATCATATGAAATTTGCTTCGTGGTTGACAGTGATGCCGATCCATTCTTTCTCCACAAAGTAATGAGTACCTGTTTGACAGTGCTCACTCTTAGCTACAAGACATACCTTCGGTTTATTTAAATCAACTTGTCAGTCTAGTTCAGAGATCCTTTGCGGTAATCTGACAGCCATGGATTGTTAGTTTAGGTGTAGTTTCCATGTAAGTTCTGGCTTGAAGTTATGTTTTTGTTTTGTATTTTGTCAGTCTGATGCTTTGAAAAGCAGCAAGCAAAAGCGCACATCTTGAAGGAGTTCAGTCAGCAGTGGTGTATGGTATCAGTAAGCTCTAAAGGTTTAGAAAGGCATAATGTACACAAAGCATGTTTAGGGTTGACTGCAGGAGATGCCTAATGTGGGGGAAGGGTAGCCCCAGACTTTTGGTGTTTGGATTTGGGTTATAAATATAAAAATGCTCAGTGTCATACATGAAGTGTGTAAAGGTTTGAGGCATTTAGCTGAGGAAACTTTGGTTCTGTGCTATAGTTATGCTTTATGCAGTAGATAAACTGATGAGAAAGTTAATGTTTAGAACATACTACATCTACCCCAAATGTTAACAAAGCTTCAAGAATTCACTTTGATTGTGCACTTTTAATCTCCCTGGGGAATGTATTGGCCAAACCATGACTTTAAGTTTTAAGGCACAACTTGTATCTCTGTAGTAAGTATAGTACCATTCAATAAATAACAGTTTGTGACAAAACTCATCAGTCTTGTTTCTGATTTCTAGCAGAACAGTCCTGTCCACCTGGATGTATCTGTTGCAGCTGGCATGCTTAGGAGGTTTGTGGCACATCATTCATTTACTAATTGTGAGCATAAAGGACTCTTCTATATAGTTAGTCAGCAGATGCGACTTGTTCTTTTATGGTTTTTAAAGCACCTAAGAATGCCTAGCTAGGTAGCTCAACAAAGAGCATAAACATTCTCACACAACTTGGGGATGATGTCTAACATAATGGAATGAAAACGCTGCTTTTGGCAAGCAGGGGAAGGGTCTAATTTTGTTTTAAAGTAACTTCTCATGAGAATATGAATTTCAGGAGTAAGTTATGCCACAGTATTGAGATTTTGCATCCTGAATGTATGTCAGCATTAACTAGCCCTGACACTGCCTTGGCTATACTAGATCCCTGCAGCTGTGCCCCATCCCTCTGTGATCCCTTATAGGGAAAACGGTTGGAACAAGTGGAAGAAATGAGCAGCAGGCTTTTCTCTTGTGAGCCACTCTGTTAACTTCGTGAAGTTAACACTTTGTAAGCTCTAGAATGATACAATTATAGTCCCTTTTCTATCTGATGTCTCTAAACAGACATGCTGTATGAGGTAGAAGAATTTTTAACATCACTGTTCAAAGCAGCAGCACTTGTATTATGCTTAAGTACCATTATGTGTTATGTACTGAATGTCGTCTAGATGCAGTACATGAGATTCACCTGGGGATATGCATCTTGGTCTTAGCTTTTGCAAATTAGCACAATGCTTCTTAATTTAAAAAGAGTTAACACAAAAGCTTCAAGGCACCCTTAAGCATGGCACTGGTCTTTCATCTCATGTAATTTCAGAGCCTAGGTGATGGCTGTAAAGAAATCAGGAAAAAAAAATATACCTTACAATCTCTTTGGTGTATTAGTTGCAGGATACACAGAATTTTTGCCCAAAGTCTTCCATATATGTGGCACTTGCTATGAAAAGTATAGCACTGTCTGTATCTTAACAGTGTTCTTCATAAGAATAGCAGCCAAATAAAATTGTTCAGTGTCATGTGGCCTCCTTAAGAGACAAAATAATGAGAAGAGAGATTTCTAGGCTGAGTACAATATTTTAATTCTGCTCAGTAGTTATATATTACTCTTGAAATACTGCATTTACACCTATATTCACAGCCAAAATATTCTAGAAATATTAAAAACACTGATTCTTCTTCTAACACTTTGTATGTAAAAAAAAAATACTATGCCTCTGACAGACTGCAAATGTTTGGGAGACTTTTTGCTTCTTTTATTTTCATCTCAAATGTTTGGTTGTGTTTTTTTTTCTTTTAAATGTTCTTCCCCTTGGTATTTCTCTTCTGTAAGTAAACAGGCAACATTTTTCCAGTGGTGGTTGAGCAAACATCTGCCTTGTGATGCAGAACCTCGGTCTGTGTGGAACTGCTACATTTCTGTACAAATCAAGGTCAGATGTATGCTTCCTACAAAGCTTTATTATCCAAGTGGTTGAAAACTGCTCTGGCGAGAGTATAGTAAGAAGTTGTGAAGTATTTAGTGAGCATGTATAAAGCAAAAAAAAGTCCCTATAGATGTGAACGCAAGTTTGGTCAGTAATAGCTGGCTTGTAAAAAGGAAAGGTCAAACCTTCTTTCCTAGCCCTGGAGAAAATTGTGGTTTTACTGTTAATTATCAGCAATAAGTTCCTTTATTATATTGTGTGAGAGAGAACAAAGAAAAAAAGGAAACGCTAAAAGTACCTGCTAATGCTAAATGCTTACATACAATTTTCCCAGCTCTGGCACATTCCTGTCCCCATGTTCAGAAAAATGGATATTTAGTTACTCAGACATAACTGTGCATGCTGTCGTTCATATCTGAGACAAAGACATGAAGTTTAGTAATCCTTAGGAAGACTGAATTAGTACATTATGTCCAGTGAAGTTCAGTAATAGTTTCTTAAATTTGGTATGGGCATGTTTTGCAGCAGTATCTCTTCTAGCTACGAATAACCATGAAAATATTTGACAGGGTTTGCTGCCATAATTTTTTGGGGGGGTTGGAAATCTCAGAATTGGTTTTCCTGTCAGCTCTGCAGCTAACAATAGTATTCACTTTGTAGTTGTTTTTTCCACTAACGCTGTTTTCTGCTCAGCTTGTCAGAGTAACTCATTAGTGGCTTCAGAGATGTCCAGGGAGAAGCAGTCCCATTTTTACTGAATAAACTCATGTCCAGACTTTGTTGTGCTTTGTGGCTGCAGACTGTAACTACAATCCCACACATTATAAAATGTATGTAGGAATCAGTGATGCATTAACTGGTGTGTGTTATTGGGAGCCCAGCACCAGGAGAAAAGCTTAGGGTTCTCAACTGATGTAACTGGTGCTTCCATCCTAGCCTGTTAGCAGGTGTGTGTGTGCCTTCGCATGTGTCCTGCAACCTCTTAATTCTAAACATAAAGTGCTCCCCTTTTTTAACACTGATTTGGTGGTTCTATGTAAGTTTAAAACATTTAAACATGCATCTGAATCTCCAAATAGCCTGTATTCTTCCGAACAGAGACAAATCTTGTTTATAAATACTATTCCTTGAGTAACCTCCCACCTAAATCAAACATACAAAGTAAAACTTGATGCAAACCCATGTGTTTTTTCTGCTATCTAGTGTGGAGCAACAGTGTGGTCACTTTCTCAGCCTCTTGTAATATCAAACTGGGAGTAAATCTATACTGAAGAGGTGTCTAATGCTCTCCATATCTAAGATGTACTACAACCGCAGCTGATGTTGGGGAGCTGAAATAGGCTGTTGTTACACTTTGGTAAAGAGAACTAACTCTGGTTGGATTAATTTCAGTACCTGTAAGTAGATTCAGGGTCATGGCCTAGCTGAAGTAAGAAACTTCCTTGCTTATGCCACCAGTTGCTAGTTTGTATCTTGGAAGAGTTCCCCCACTCCTGATAAGACTGCCAAAGTAGCCATGTTAAGTATAAAAAGGAAATAACGCCAATGTGTGTGCCACTAATAGTACACCGCAGCAGTCACTATTGTAGGTCATGGTTGCTCAGCAAAAGAAAACTTGTGAAGGCGGTGGTTATGCAGCCTTTCTTGTGCTTTTGCTTGTCCAAATTACTTTAATCACTTAGGGTTAGCTTACTTTTCAGCTTCAGCTAACAAGACTGCAGTTGGTCAGGACTGATTCTTTTTTTAAAGTATTCAAAAGATAGATGCCCTCTATCTTTTGAATGATGTGCTTCTGGCTGTAAGTAGCTGCTGTTAATGTGAATCTACAGTTTGGCCAGGGATTAAATTTTTAGCTGCCTTTTTCAAAAGATACTTTGTATTTGTGTATATTGTTTGGAGGATATTATTATAGGTAGCTAATTTACAGGTGGCCAGGGAGTTAGCTGACCAATTGACACTGTGTAAATGCATGTTCAATCTGTGATTAATTACGAGACTGTATTGTTTGCAGGAGGTTTGAATCTTCAGGGATATGCTTTCCACTGCAGTGCTCCTCTGTCATCTGTCACCCCATTAGTTACACCAGTATAGTTGTAAACAGAACCATTGAAATGAGCTGTGTTGTGTGACACCCAGAATGCTGAAAGAACAAAATACATTTTTTTTAGATCTATAATTATTCTGGATCAATAAAAGATATTAGAACAGGAGCAGTCTTGCCCTTGCAAGCAGCACAGCAGGGAACTAACTACTGTAAATGAAGAAACAATCATTTGGCTGGGGGAAGCAACTGGCTGCTTGTTAAACTGACAGGAAGAATGTTAAGCTACATTTTGATTCTGCCCTTCTAAAATAGTATTTCAGATTTGTTTCTATTCCTGATATATGAAGAAAAATGTTTGGGAAAAGCAGCCTCTCTAGTGGTGTGCTCTGTGGAAATGCCTAGAATTAGAGCTGAAATTGAGGTTTATGTAAGCATTCTGTTAAAGTCATCTAGCACTTCCTTTGCTGCTCTTGACACCTGTTAATATAGTCTACTGAAACAGGTCTCTGTTGTTCCCCAAAATAATGAAATCAGCAGATTTCCTGCTTTTCTAAAAGCCCTGCAAATTAGAAATTTCATTTCCAAAAAACTTAGGTATCACTTGCATTGTGTTTGTTTTTTGTGTGTTTGTATTGGAATGTATCAGCATCTGGGTGAATTTACTGTAATTGAACCCACTGTTAATTTGCTGAAATGGGAATCTTAACCAGTGTATTTTGGATATGCAGACAATACATATACTAGATAGATATCTAACTTTGTGCAGCAGTAAGGCATCCCTTGTTCTTTCAAAGCTCTTAACTTTGCTTCTGATACCACATCACTTAAAATGGTATTTTCAGTGGGTAGTTTTTATAGTCTTTAGGGGACACTTCAGGGGATTGCTTTTTTCCTGAATATGATTATACACACGTGTTTAAACTGTGATGCTGCTGCCTGCTTTATTCTATTGTCCATCTTTGGTCAGCACAGCAACTCACAAGAACTGTTTTTAAACCACCATTGCAGAGTCCTTTAATAGCAACATACTGAAGATGAAAGGGCATGGCATGGTGGCTGGTCAGTATATATGGAAATAGGAGCCTTGGTTGGAGCTTGGTTGTAGATCCCATGTTCTGAAATACTAGAATGTATCTACTGGACAACCAGTCCAGCTACATACACTCTTACCTCTTCAACCTCCTGTTTTCTGTAAATCTGTATAATTAGACATAATAGGTAGCAAGACCTATGATGGAAAGTTAACAAGCAGTTGGTGTCTCAGAATAGCTCTCAATTCTTAAGTAAAAGTAACTTCCTTGTGGCGTGTAACTTGAAAGGGTGGAGAAAAAGCTAGTCCTTTTCTTACAGGCATGAGCAACTAAAGGAAGAAAATGAGGGGGAGAGAATAGTCTCTGTATTGTATTTTTGGTGCTGTTACAGTCTCAAAATTGTCATGACAACCAATATTATTTTCCTTTTTAGAATCTTGAAACTGCACTTTAAGGTCATGATTATTTTCCAGCTGATAAATGCTTAAGATGCATTGCTGAATTCACTGTTTTGTGCTCCCTTCTATGTATGGCTTTATCTGAAGGGAGCGACTTGCAAAACAGCATAATGTAGTTATTCTGAGTCTCCTTCTTTAACAGTGACTCACTCTGTCTGTCCAGATAGCATCCCAAGCAACACTGCACCCATATGGACAGTCATACTTTCAGCATGTGGGACATTTAACCTCAGGCCATCAAGCTATTTTTGGTGATGAGAAGGAAGTAACAAATGACCTGATGCTTGGCATACTTCAGATTTGCCAGAGACAAATTCTGTTTGAAGTGTTTCCCTTCTGAGAGTCAGCACCAAATAGAGATTAGTAGTATTTCTTTTGGAGATACGCTTACCTGACACAGGAAGTTTTATGTATGGGTTACTTCTGTGAGCTTCTAATGCTTTAATCTCACTATAACTTCATCAGAGGTACTAGTCACTTGTAATGCAGATATTATCCAAACCAGTAATTTTTATGGCATGTAAAAGTAGTAAACCCAGGGAAAATTGATTATCCTGGCACAAATTAACCTAAACTCGAGTTTTGAACTATGCAAGTCCAGTTCTATATTCTAAAATCTGTCCTGGTGCAACCACAGAGATACATGTAAGTAATTAGATACCAGATACCAGAACTTTCTTTTTTTTTCAATCTACCACCTGCAGTTCACCAGTCACCTTCTTAGTTCTCTTGAACAAGGCTTCTGTATGTGGACTTGCTGTCTAAATAATTGTAACACGAACGTGGCATATCCTGTAACATTAAATATCAGAGTAGTGATTCACCAGGTGCTGAGTAACAGTCAGTGGATGTAGGAAACTTAGGTGGAGATGAAGCATCTTAGTACAGCCTACTCTTGTGTCATTGTTGGATCTGTATTTCTAAAATAATTCTTGGGGGGGGGGGGGGTGATTTTAAGCTAAGAGATGAGTGTGTCTCTACAGTCTTAATTTCTGGTGTTCTGTTAAAGCATGTGCTTTTGGTTTTAAGCAGTAGAATATACCGTTTAAGCTCAGAGTTTTAAGTGTTTCAGCATAGCAAGAATTACAGTTATGAATTCCAAGTGGGTGTTTTACTTTCTGCTCTATTATGGATTTCCATAAATGGCCAGAGTCAGGACTAAGATTACTTGTGAAGGAAGCCTCAAGCAAGAAGTGGTGTTTGGTATTGGCTAATTATGCAATTTTTTTGTATCTTTAGAACTGAAAATTCCCAGTGCTTTTACCCTGCCCATTTGTTAGCCTTGCAGTGCATTTTCATGTATCAGTGTTACACGTAAGTTACAATTCACTGTTTTCAAGCCAATTATAAAAGCTAATTTTAATTTCAGGGCAGGGGATCAAAGTCTCACTTCTGTAGGAAAGCATGCTGCCTCTGCTGTAGAAGGCTCGTTCTGGAAGCCTTCAGAGGTCACTGTCACAGACTGCTGCTGTTAGGTCTGTCACAATGTGCTTGCATGTGTTGCAAGAAGCTCTGAATTGAGATGGCCAACTGAGCTGCCCTCGTCCCTTGGCATAAGACTCAGTGCTCTCAGAGTCAGCTTACTCGAAAGTAGTAGGGCACGTGTGATATCCCAACAGATGATACCCACAAGGAACAGCTCTTTTAAGGCTTCAATTCTATGGGCTCAGTCCATACATACTTTCTGCAGACACAGCCCTGAATTGAAGCTACAGGAGACTGACTGCAGGAAGCTTTCAAATCTTTGTCTTACTACCTGATCAGTTGTTCTCTGGGCTTAAATCAAACTCTTAACCCAGGTATCACTTAAGCCTGAAGCATAAGGGAACATCTACAATACAGCTCAATTCTGCAAGACATCTAGTCCTCTGATCCATCTTGAGCCCTTCTGGAGCTTAGCTTTCACAAAGTGATTTGCCTCAGACAGCTGCATGGTCTTCAACATTTAATCAAAGTTTAATGATGCTGTGCTGTCCCACTGCATTTTTAAATCTTTGTGGTCAGTGCTGCCATGGGTAGTCACTTCCTTCCTTATGGAAGATTCTTCCCCTGCTCAAATTCTATCATTTGACACAGCAACAAGTAAGTATTCATTTTTCAGTAGGAAAACTCATTAAAGTTGGTATTTAGCCTATCAAGTATGGACT